TGGTGAAGAAGGATAGAGGTGGAGTTACATTGATACATCTATCATGGTGAAGAAGGATAGAGGTGGAGTTACATTGATACATCTATAGTGGAGAAGGATGGAGGTGGAGTTACACTGATACATCTATGGTGGTGAAGAAGGATAGAGGTGGAGTTACATTGCACCAACCAGGAAGCAGGGAGAGATGGATGTCTTTGCTCAGCTCACTTTCTCTTTATCCATTCTGTCCAGGACCCCAGGCTGTGTGATGGCAGACCTCACATTCAATGTGTGTCTTCCTTCCTCAATTAGCCCAATCTAGAGACCACTCCACAGACATGCTCAGAGGGTTTGTTTCCATGGTGATTCCAAAGCCTCCAGGGCACAGGGCAAGCATCTCACCACTGCCTTTTTGGCCTACAGGTGATTCTGGGGAAGCTATATGAGACAAGGAGCAGTCAGTTGAGGAAGTACAAGCCGCCTGTGAAGCTGGATGCTCTCTGGCACATGCCTCACTTCCAGAAGGTCAGTGGCCCTTTCATCTCCTTCTTTGGGCACCAAAGCTGGGGCTAGCTGATGCGCACTCGTCTCAGCGTCCTGTGGGCTTCTGACCACTGACGCTCAGAACACAGCAGCAGGTGGCACCTGGTATTGTGAACTCATCCCCCATCCAGGTTCTGAGCCCACTTAGCTCACCAGAGATTCTATTTTTTTTAAATGTGTATCTAGCATGTGCACAGGGGTGGGGGTGGGGGGCGGAGTATGCATATGTGTATGTATGTATGTGAGTGCAGATGTCTACAATGAGAACAAGCTTGCATGTGGCTCCTGTCTCCGCTTCCCCACCCCAACAGCTTTCAGCTAAGACTCTTGATAAGCACCCATGGGGCAACCTGCTGATATTGACCTGTTTTATAGACAGGAAACAGGGAGAATGCTGGGAAGAGGCAGAGTCTTGGGAGATCTCAGACCATCTTAGCATGGGATGGCTGGCTACCCAGAAGCAGAGGCTGTCTTGGGTAGAAGCGTCACTCTAGTGACAGGGTCCTCGTGTATCTTGTAAGGGAAAGATGTACCCAGGTGGGAAACAAGCTTGGGCCCTCCCTGCTAATCCACCTGTATGATGACACCCTGCTGAGAGGCAGGAAATGACCTTAGGTTCCTCCCAGAAGTGGGGTGGGTGCTGACTGAAGATGAATCGTGTGCTCTGGCTTTAGAGCTGACCTTGTGTTCGTTCACCCGTGTGTTCCTGTAACACCCAGGCAGAGACACACGTTCAGCAATTTTTAGCAGGACAATGACGGTGGGGGTGGGGTTGTGGGGGGGGGGAGAAGTAGGGTTGTACAGACTAAGGGAAATGGGAGGGGCTGAAAATGCTGGGTCCAGGACGAGGAAGAAGCTGCGTAGGCTGTGTGTACCCCACCCAGGCAGAAGGAATCTTTCTTGAAGGTCATGAGGGATGTCCCCGGCCCCATCAAGACAGCTGCACGAGCAATATTCCCAGCCAGCCGGCCCGGCTGCGCTGCCCGAAACTGCGAGTTAGACAGAGAAGGGACGGCTGCCTTCCTGAGCTTAATGCGCTTGAACAAGCCGCTGAGCTTCAGCGGGGAAGCTGCTTTGGCCCGCTGGATGTGGCCTCTCGTGTCCTGCCCAAGTGGCCTCCATCGACATATGTCAGTGACCATGTGCCCCGCTGCCCATCAGCCCGGGCCTCTGCTGAGCTCACAGCAAATGTCACTGAAAGAACATGACCGAACACTGATCAGGAGGTGGCAGGAGTCACCACCACACTGCCGCTTCTTAGCACCTGTCAGCTCGGAGCCTCAACAGCAAAGCCTCCCCCCTGTTTCTCCGTCTCTCTTAACGTCTCCACTTACATTCACTTGTTCACAACATTCCCCCGGGCCCCTCCTCTCTTTCATTTCCTCCTTGGCCTTTTTTTTTTTTCTATTATGCCAGTGACCAAGTGCATGTAGGCATCTGGGTGACATTGCCAGAGGGGCACCAGGACCCCCAGCTCCCAAAGGCACAAGATGCCCTCCAGGTGGCCTCTAGTTTTACAGTAGCTGGCCCTGACAGGAGCTGGAGGGTAGAAATAATTCAGTGTTTCTGTTTGCAAGAGAGGGGGTTTGTCTCGGGGTCTGAGGAGCTCTGCTACTCATTAGGACTTCTGAGGTACTGTTAGGAGAAGCAGTGACCCAGCAATGACAACTCTTTCTGGTGGCAGGTGTCATGTATGGCTAGTGTGTGCAGAGAATGTCATTTTATCCTCAGAACAAACACCCTAACCCTGCCTTGCAGGCGAAGTGGGTCTGGTGCATCTCCAGACTCCCTAGAGTGGCTAGCCTGCATCCTTGGAGTGTGCCTTCATTGCCCATGCTGATAGCACACTAACTAGTTGAGACAGAAGGGCAATGACGAGCCCCAAGCCTTTCCTCTGTGTCTTCCAAGGACACCCCTGGGATCCTGCAAGTTAGTGCCCCAGTCACCTGTCACACAGGCCCTGGAACACAGCACATGCACCAGGTTCTATCGGGTGTGTTATCTGCCCAGCAGAGACTCTTAAACCCCTGAGAGCTGACGTTATAGGACCTAGGCCAATAGCAATACTGACTGAGCCTGCAGCACCAAGTGTTGGATGAGCACAATCTTGTAGGTACCAGTGCACCCGCATAGATGCTGAGGATAGAGCTGCCCTAATTCAGGGGCTCCTGAGACTCCTTCCTGCCTCTGTGGCAACCCCACCAGGTCCCCCCTCATCACCGAGGGGCGCCTCAGGCCCCGCTGCTTCCCTTTGAAGAGCTTAGCAACTTGGGAGTCAGGTGATTAACTAGACAGACTTTCATCTTCCTTCATAATGTGTAAGTCCACAAAAACCAAGCTTCAAGGCCCTAGTCATGGCCCCAGAGCTAAGCAGGGTGCCTGCACAGGAGAGGGGGTGGTAACCCTTGGAACGAATGCGTGAATAAGTAACCAGCCCAGAGTGGCCAAAGATTTTCAAAGCCTCCCACAGGCACAATGAAACCCTCCTACCCACACAGATGCCCCAGCACTGCCACATCCCTGCTGCCAACTCAGGGCCTGTGCTCAAAAAGCACTCGAGGGCCAGGTCAGGCTGCTGTCGTTTCATGGTACATGAAGCCCCAGGAGGGTCTTTGTCTGGGTCGCATGTCACTGCTGATCTGCTGCCCCCACCCCAGCGCCATTATGATGGGAAAATGCACTTCCAAAAAAGTTGAACCTGTCACGGTGATGGATAACCTAAATGGACCCTCCCCGCTCATGAACAGATGTCGAGGCTGAACTCTGTCAGAAATAATTAAACACCTTTCACATGGAAAAGCAGCAGGCAGGGTGGGGCGGCCATCCCGCGGCTGGGTCACCGTGTCAGACAGGCTGGCTTTCTGCTTCCTCTCAACCAGCCACGAGGGAAGCTGCGAAGACCTCTGGACCACAGGGTGAGGAAAGGCCAAGGGAGGCAGCGACACATCCCTGTCATGGTCCGGGCAGGCAGGGCCTCTGGTGGCCCTGGCTTCTTTCTGGTCTCTGTGTCCTGCAGTTGGCAGGAGGTAGCAGTGCCAGGGTGGAGGGACACCAGCAGCGGGTTGGGAGCCTTCCAGCCGGGATGTTCATACTGTGGGGGCCCCGTTGAGAGGCTGGAAGTTTGGAGCCTCGATCTCCACATCCAAAAAGGAGAGAAGTAGCTGCAGGCCTGGGAGGCCTGCTCAGGACTGAGGCTCCATGGTTTCTCTTACCTGGCCAAGGAGCCATGTGGGAGGGGGAGTGAGGACTCTTGGAGATGAAGGACCCCGTTCATCCATCTGTCTGCTCACTTCCTCACTCACCTATCAATTCATTTACTCATTCATCCATTCACTCATTCATTCACAAGTTTCTATCTTGAATACTTCATGCCAGGTCCTGGTAAGACTCTGAGGACATGGTGGTGAATGAGCCAGAAACTTTGGCCACTGCCGATGCCATGGAGTTACCAGCCATTGAATGAGCACGAGATGGACAAGACTGGCAAATGGGAAGATACACAGACAGATGGGGGAAGTTTGGAGAGTATTGCCCCCAGTTACACAGTGTTCACTTAGCCAGCAACCCACACGGGGGAGGTGGTGACAGTTCCTACAATGACAACCATATCATCCAGGCAGCTGCATACGTGCATTCACCACAACATCACACACACACACACACACACACACACACACACACACAC